CCCGCACTCACACTTACCCACCCTTCTTTTCTCTCCCTGTCCCCCCTCCCCCACCCTAGTCTCTCTCTCTGACTTGTTCACTGACCGAGGAGAGGATCTTCCCCCTCCAGGGGGCGCCCTATTGTTTCCAGCCATTTGATCAACCGAACGAGCTTAATGTCTCGACTTTCACATCCTCTTACAAAACAATTCTCGAACGATTGGACGGGGGGAAAAGAGGAAAGGAAGAAACGAAACAGAACGAAATGCTGGGAAAACAAAGCGATAAAGAGAAATAGAACAAAAGAAATTTATTTTAACAATCCCCAACGCTGTTCCGCTTTGCGTGGTTTTTTGTTGTTTTTTGTTGTTTTGTTTTTGGGTTTTTTTAGGTGCATTTTATTTATCGTGGTTTTTTTTTTTTTTTTTTTACGCCCTTTATGAAGTGGATTGGGTTTTGAATTTTTTTAAAATTTATTTTTAAAATATTTTTATTAATTTTCTTTGTCACATTTGAAAACAAAATTATTATTCTTATTATGTCTTTTAACGCTGCACACCAGTGTAGTGGTTACGGTCTTCGCCGTCACAAGCAGATTAATATATGGGCAATGTCAGTTATTTCGGAGTCGGGCTTCAGCCTCGCCTGTCAGACTCAACCCGGGTACTGTAATGTGGTTTACTCCTTTATTCTTCTCTGTCAAACATCTATCTTCCTGATCTCTCCTCTTTTTTTTTTCTTTTTTTTGGTACTCTCTTGTAACACCTCCCATCTTTGGCATTAATATGTTTTAATTGTATTGCAAGTGCCGTAAAACTTCGACTAAAGCTAAAACAAGAGATTGAGCATGCTTAGAGCAGGTGAGTAAACGATCTAGTCTTTTAAAGATAACGTAATAGTGTCTCCTTTAAAACTACCCTTATGAATTGCAAGGCATGAAGTTTTGGCGCTCATATGATCGTATACAGTTGCGAGCGCCGTAGAACCTCTACTAAAACTTTTTAAAAACCCAAAAAGCAAGAAGTTCGGTTGGATTGATAGGCGGTGCACTGGCGTAGTCTGCTCCTTGTTTTCTATCAAAATGTCATCGTTATCTCTCCTCCTGCTTTTGTTGTGCTTTGTACTCTATACTTTTATAAACTCTGAGATTCTACGCGTTTATGTTGTTATTGTATAACATTGCTTTGTACATGTGATACCTCTAATCTTTGGCACTTATATATAGTTTCTAATTGTGTTGCACATGCCGTGAAATTCTTACTCTCACGAAAACTTGTTGATATATTGTCTGAATTTGAGCCATTACTTTTCTAAGAGTCGGGAGAGCTTCGTTATCGTGTTGTATGTATTCAGACATGCGTGGCCTCTCGTAGTTAGAGTCTCATGCATATTCATGTCTCTATGAATAAAGCATTCCCCGAACAGTCTTGTCTGTATAATATTATATCGTTGGTGTTGCAAGCAAACCACTTTAGTTCGTTTGGGTGCTTTTTCCCAAAGCCAAAATGAATTAATTAATTAAAAATAAATAATTTA